GTTAACTGGGTCGAGCTAACTCGCTGGCAGTCGCCCGAGTCTTCAACGGTACACATCAACGCCATCACAATGAAACGGCAGTCGCTGCTGGAGCTGACGTGTACGCAGTAGACATCGCAGTAGTAGAGGAAGCAGCAGCCGTGATTTTAAGAAACTGCTGGCAGCCGTACCGCCCGAACTACAGGAACTGTTGAAACGATACCAGAAGGACTGCCACCTCAGCGAGCACATGACCACCGAATCGAATTAGAACCGGGGGCACAGCCAACCGTACAGCGCCAGTTCAGACTGACACAGCCCGAGCTCGACGAACTAAGGAAGCAGTTAGATTACCTGTTAGAGAAAAATTCATCCGACCGAGCTCGTCACCGTTCGCCGCACCGATACTGTTCACGCCGCAAAAAGACGGGGGGTTTCGCATGTGTATCGACTACAGAGCACTAAACAGGGTAACATTCAAGTCGCGGTACCCCATCCCCCGCGCCGACAAACTTATCGACCAACTGCGAACAGCACGGGTTTTTTTCGAAAATAGATTTACGGGGAGGTTACCATCAGATTAGGGTCGAACCATCAGACTGCGCCAAAACAGCCTTCAGGACTAGGTACGGGTCGTTCGAGTACACTGTGATGCCATTCGGGCTGACCAACGCACCGGCGACTTTTCAGATGACCATGAACGAGGCGTTTAGGCCGCTCTTAGATAAATGTGTGATAGTTTACCTCGACGACATCCTGGTTTTACAGTCGGGATAAGCAGCAGCACTTAGCAGATCTGGAAGCAGTGTTTAAGGTTTTAGACGAGCATCGATTACTGACCAAGGGTTCCAAGTGCGAGTTCTTCCAGGATATGTTAGAATTTTTTGGGCACGTTATTTCAAAGGCTGGAGTTGAAATCGACCCAAAGAAGCTGGATACGGTAAAAGCGTGGAATCCCCCGACGAACATCACGGAGCTGCAGAGTTTTTTAGGGTTCGTTGATTACGTGCGTCGGTTCGTCCACGATATGGCACGGTTAACTGCCCCACTGACGGACTTACTGCGGAAAGGGGTCGCTTTTTACGTGGGGGGAGAAAGAGCATGCTGCCTTCTCTGCCCTGAAAAATGTTCTCTGTTCACCACCCGTCCTGCGCATCGCCGACCCACACCGCCCATTCGAAGTAGTTACCGACGCAAGTGACATCGCCATCGGAGCCGTACTGTTACAGGACTTCGGCAACGGCCTACAGCCCATCGCATACGAGTTACGAAAACTGCATCCGCCCGAGAAAAATTACCCGATACACGACCGCGAAATGCTTGCGATCGTGCACGCGTTTAAAGTGTGGCGCTGTTACTTGACCGGCGCAGACGTGACAGTACGGACAGACCATAAATCACTACAGTACCTCCGCGCACAGCCACACCTCAACCCACGACAGATTCGCTGGCTCAATTTTCTCGAGTCCAATTTTCACTACACGGTCACCTACAAAAAGGGAGCCGCGAACATCGCCAACGCACTAACCCGCCCCACTGCCCAGATCCATGCAATACTACTCGCCCAGACCAGCCCCCTACTGACAGGCCTATTTAACCACGGGTACCAAACGGATCCATTCTTCACAGGAGGAAATTCGCAGCAGTTCGCAGCAGCAAGGGGAGTCTATTACGTAAAAGCCGGGACCGACCGCATCTGGGTGCCCGGGTATACACTGCTACGGGAATTACTGTTACAGGAGGCACACGACGGAGTTACCTCGGGGCATTTCGGGGTAGAGAAAACACGGCAGCAACTGCAGACGTATTATTACTGGCCCGACATGTTGACCGACATACAACGACACGTACCATCGTGTCCCACTTGCCAGCTCATGAAATCATCACGGCAGCGGCCGGCAGGAAAGTTGCAGCCGATACCACCCCCAGAGCGTGCTTGGGAGCAGGTGACGATGGACTTCGTCACGGGGTTACCGGCCGGGGCGAGTGGGAACGACGCGATCCTGGTCGTCGTCGATCGACTGAAGAAAATGGCACACTTCGCAGCCTGCAAAAAATCAATCACAGCCGAAGAAACAGCACGCCTCTTCATCTTCACCGTCGTTCGACTGCACGGGATACCATCAGCGACCGCGACACGAAATTCACCAGCAACTTCTGGCGGAACCCGTGGCAGCAGTTCGGCACGCGACTACAGTTCAGTTTCTTCGTACCACCCCGAAACCGACGGGCAGACAGAACGGACAAACCAGACTATGGAGCAGCTCATCAGGGCCACGTGCGACGACCCGACCACATGGGAACAGCAACTGCCACTAATCGAATTCGCGTACAACAACTTGCCATCCGCCACGACCCAACAGTCACCATTTTACCTAAACTACGGACAAGACCCGACAGTACCCATGACCCCGAATCCCGACAACCCAGTACCACGAGCACATCAGTTCGCCGAAGTATTACAAGCAGCACGGATCCGGGCAGCAGACGCAATAAAAAATCGAGCATCATCGCTAAACGCAACGCCGACCGCCACCGCAGACCTGTCACTTACCAGCCTGACGACTTAGTTTTACTTGACACTCAGAACCGCCGACTGCCCATCACCCCGAAACTCCGCCCCCGATACTGCGGGCCATTTCGCATAAGCCACATGATTACACCCGTCACCGCCCACCTCCTCCTCCCTGCTGACTGGTACGTCAGCCCCTCATTCCACGTCAGCCTGCTTCGCCCTTACGTCCCGTCCACGAGCCAATTGCCACGCAATCGCCCAGCCAGCATGACAAGACCACCAACTGAACCAATCATCACCCCCGAGAAAATCCTGAGTCACAGAGTTCGCGACCCTCGAGGAGCCCGAAGGATCGAGTTCTTACTCCGCTGGAACGACCGTACACCCACCGAAGACAATTGGGTTCCCCTAGACAGAATCGAAAACCACCCCGTCCTTACCGAGTATCTGTGCAGCCGAAATTTCAGGGATGTACACGCACTTTCGTAAGGAGAACCTCCTTAGGGGGGGGTAGTGTAAGGAAAATTCCTTTTCCTTACTTCGCATCCCTGCTCAACGCGTACATCACTGTAGCACCACAGTCAGCACCGTTACCACTCGCAACCCTCGCATCGACAATCCGCCCGCCACCTTCGCACGTCGCACCCCGACCTCATGGCTCGGCGGGTAACCCCGCGCTCCGGGCCTCCGCTTCGACACTTTTCCCAACCTCAGTCCCAGGCCCGTCGCGCGACAACCACAGTCCATTACCGTTACCACTGTAGTTTCGCTATATATTCTTCGCTCATGCCTTTGCTCATTGTACTCTTGCTTCGATAGTGCAATTCTCGTTCGTTTACTCAATTGCACTCGTAACATATAGCGTTAATAACCTATTACAACGAAGCAACATGTCGAGATGGCCTAGTTGGTCTAAACCGCTCTGCAAGGACTCTTTGTATATACTGTAAATACTATAATTATTTACCCAGGAATATTGTAAATATATTATATTCGAATGCGCTGTATGAAGGTTCCAGTCCGAAATGACCTGGGTTCAAATCCTACTATAGTCATGTTTTCGCCAATGTGTTGCAGCTGCGGATTATGATGTAGATGGTGACTACCTTAGCGTATATTGTACACTCGAAGCTACCAAATGGACTCACTGCTGTAGCGAAGCCAGCTCCAGAAGATTCTGTCAGCACCATCCGTTTTTTATTGGATCCCCAGCCACACGTCAGCCTGTCACTCCCCTGTCCATCTAATTAGAGTTAATTCTCCCACGAATCCCAAGGCTGCCCGAGACACCTTTCCTTCTCCACAGGAGGTGCAAATTTTCCTATCCATGGGAACAGAAAAGTGCGTGCGTGGCTGGATAATTATCCACAACAGCAGTTCCCACCACCACCACCTCGCTGCCTTTACCTTGCCACTTCCACCTGGATCAGCCGTCTGCGATTGGTCGATCGGCAAACTGTGCCAGGAGGGAGGGAATGAAGATCCCTAGGAGGCTTTTCGAGATGCTCCTAGCCTGCTGCTAGCCGCTAATCTCGAGAGTGAGAATTTCCCTTGGGCTTTCCTTCTGCATTTCCTCTGAGATATCCAGGGATTTCATTCAGTTTCCATCCAGAAAAGAGTATTTTCACAAGCGAGTGCGTGGCTCTCTCTTCGCTCGTGTCGTGAAACCTCGTTTCCCTTGCAGATCTCGAAGTCTATTTATTGGTCCTATTTTCCTCCGTCAGTTCAGTGTGAGTTGGTTTTACCTGGCCAGAAATCCATTGTTGGTAGCCTCCGACAATGGAGACGAGCTGCATCTCCAGGTTATCTGCATCAGGGACTCTTCCCGAGTCAGTGTCCTGTTCCATCTGCTAACAAAGCGTTAGAGTCGAGAACTCTCAGGACGCAGGCTACGCTACGGAATGTAAGCGTCTCTAAGTTGGCTGGCCCTGCGAGGCCGAATCCAGGTCCACGTGGCATGTCTCCGTCTGCAAAGGTCACTGTAGGATTATGGCCGTCCAGTCTTCGCCTCTAGATGTCACCGCCAAAGATGCGAGCCCCCCCCAGCCGTTCGGTGCTCTAAGATCAACGGTGGCCACTGCTGTAGCGGCTGTTGTATCTGCTGCTGCGGCATTCCGGGACGCGGCAGAAGCAGTTCCGATAAACGTACAAGAAGCCGCTCAGCAAAGACACGCGGAGGAGGAACGGTTAGAAACGTCGTTTTTCGACGGCGTGCGAAGCAGAGCGTCACCCTCGCTATTGTCACTCGCTGCCATGTCAGCAGCGCCGCTGGCCATCCCCATCAAGAGCTCTCTGACCGCCTTCTTCTCCAACCTTCGTGCGAACCCCACCTTCATGTCGGCTCTTATTGCGTGGGCTCTCGCGCAAATCCTCAAGGTAAGCCGCAATGTTCGTTAAGCCTTGAAGCTTGGTGAGCCTCAAATATTGTGAAGCCGCGAAGCTCATTGATGCATTATTCAGCAATGTCCATGTTCCCACAAGCTCATGTTTCATGCCGTAATGAATGACACGGAAGAAGGCAGACATTCAAAACGAGTGGTAACAACTTATCCTGATTCGTTTCTCCCGCCATAAGTGAAAAATAAAACATTTTTGGCTGGTCCTCACTCGCTCGGAACAGTCACTTCTTGTTTCCTGACTCCATTGCATGACATCCGTCAATCACCCTTACCATCACCTTCCGGATTTCGCCCTGCCTGAATGTGACTGACGCTTTGCCCACCACCTCTCCCTCCCACCTTCTTTTCACCCTTTCCACGTCCGCTCTTTTCCCGGAATCCTTCCATTCCTCCCCATTCACCTGCTCCAGGTGTTCACGAACCTCTACTTCAAAAAGACGTTCGACATCCGAATGGTTGTGTCGTCAGGCGGCATGCCGTCGTCGCACACCGCCCTCTGCGTCGCCGTCACCACCTCCGTTGCCCTGCTGCATGGCGTGGGGGGCCCGCTGTTCCCCGTCTGTCTCGCGTTCTCCTCCATTATCATGTACGACGCCACCAACGTGCGCTACCACGCCGGCGTGCAAGCAGAGGTACGATCTTCACTCAATGTGCAAAGTTTACAGCAGCAGAGGTGTGTGTCAGAGGGGTGGGTAGTGTTGCATTGCATGCTCTTTATTGCTGCTGCAGAGCAGACCCCATCTGCCTCGTGTTCTCGCTCATCATAATGTATAACACCAACAACGCAGGTTCCAAGCAGAGGTACGCTCCTTGCTCCTTCACAGCAGACCCTTTATCTGCCCCGCGTTCTCGCTCAGCATTATGTACGACGGCCACCAACGTGCGCTACCACGCCGGCGTGCAAGCACGAGGTACGCACTTCACCCAATGTGCAAAATTTACAGCAGCAGAGATGTGTGCCAGGCGGGTGGTGTTGCATTCCATGCTCTGTATTGCTGCTGCACAGCAGACCCCATCTGCCTCGCGTTCTCGCTCATCATCATGTATAACGCCAACCACGGGGGAGTGCAAGCAGAGGTACGCTTTTACTGCTGCTACAGAGCAGAACCTTTTTCTGCCTTGCGTTCTCGCTCATCATCGTGTATGACGCTACCAACATGCGCTACCACGTGGGGGTGCAAGCAGAGGTACGCTCTTGATTGCTGCAGCAGAGCATACCCCAACTGTCTCGCGTTCTCCCTCTTGATTGTGTATGCCGCCAACCATGCTGAGGTGCAATCAGTAGGTACGCTCCTTGCTGCTGCCATTGCAGGCCTCAAAGCAGAAACTAGAGCAATCGTTGCTGTGTAAATATAACCGTACTCAGTGATGTTAACTGACGCAGCAGCAGAGATGCGTGTCAGGTGGGTGGGTGGTGTTGCATGCACCACCGGTATTGTTCCTGCAGGGGTGGAGTGACAAAATCAAATACGTGAACTCTCAGCAAGACAGGAGGGAATTGAAATCACGTTCCTTATGAGAGTTGAAGAGTTGGCTTTGGAGCTTTCAGCAGATGACCGAAAAACTGATCATCACACACAGTGCTTGACAAAGCCAGGAGCAGCCTCCTTGGATTCACCAGGAACAACATGCCAGTTCTCACGTACGTTTTGTTTTTCCATAGTTTTGATTCATCCACTGCCTCTTTTTGTGTCTGTTTCCCAGGTTCTGAATGTGGTGGTGGAAGAGATGCCTGGAGGGCCATCCAATCAGCGAGAAGAAGCTAAAGGAGCTCCTGGGGCACACCCCCTTGCAGGTGGTTGGAGGCTTCATCCTTGGTGTTGTTACAGCCTTTGTATACCATTACAAGACAGGACAAATGTATGGGTGGGCGTGAGATAGGTAACGTAACTATAGTATGGGGGATGAAAATGTGAGATACGTCCTTCACATCCAGAAATAATTGGGTTATACCTAGTGCTTTCACGGCTTGCTTTTGTGTGTGAACTAGTTTGTGCTTTTCCAGCTAGTGCCACTTCAATGTTAGTAACTGATGTGTCAACATAGATCAAGTATTGTGTAAGAAAGCAAACGACTGAATGCACTAGCTCGATTCGGAACAGTCACGTCTCTTGTTTCTCGGCACGTCCTTGTAGCACTAGAAACATCATACCTTGCACAACGGATCGACGACACGTGGAAATTTGCTTCACGAGCCAACCACATCTGACGGCAAAAAAAAATCACAGTCGCGAGCAGCAGACGAGTATTTCCGGACCCGCGCCCGCTTCAAGCTTTAACGCGATTCGAAAGGAAACAAGCGAACTCGGAAATGGGAAATCTCTACATGTCTCTGGCTCGGGGTTGAAATGGGAAATCTCTACATGTCTCTGGCTCGGGGGTCTCTTCTCTGATGGTGGCAGAACATTCCCCAAGCCCAAACCTTTCCCAACCCAAGCAGACCAAAACCATTTCGTCCAAACCATACCGAACGATGTCTGACCAACTACAACAAATCCACACATAACTCTATGGTAGCTACTGCAGTTGCTTGAACCGAAACCCATTTTTGTCATGGCATGGCACCTTCACAGCATACCCATTCATTCCGTACACACCCCTCTTCCTGGCATCGTTCCCGCCGCGTCCGGCACGTGCGGTGGTACAGTGCGACACGCTCTGCACTCCCTCCGTAATGGCTGTTTAGTCCACGTGGAAGTTGCCTGTTCTGGCCTATGGATGGTCGCGACGGAGTTCCCAAAACGTAGCGCGTCGCAGCCAATCAATCACGCCGAATTTCACAGCCAGCTGGCCGTGGCGTGCAGTACAATCACTCGTATCGGATCGCTGCGAGCGTCATGACGCTATGATGGAGGGCAATTCCATGTCCTTATCAGTGCCGTAGTTCTGTTGACTATCGAATTAACTCAGAAACAAAAAAGTTAGGATTGGATTGGTGATTTCAGTAGTAATTCATTTGCATTTCCAAGATAGCACTATCCTACTATATTCCTGCTTTGTTAAACGCCGCTCCTGTTAGTACATTTCAGCACACCAGCTCGTTCCTCTACAAGCAACCGGTTACTATGACGCGTAACCGGCAGCGTTTCGTAGTAATGCTGACGGCCGCCGTCAGCGCCGTCGCTCTCGCATCTCTCCTCCTGCCAGTAACGTCGGAATCTTCTCAGAATACGAATCAGCCGCAACAGCCGCCGCAGCAGGCGCCGCGATGGACGCCGCGATGAGCCGGCGCAATGGACGGCGTGCAACTACTCCACGGGGTGGTGGATCCGCAAGCCGCCATCAGCGCCATCGGCGCCGTATCGGTCCACGTGCCCGTTTCTCCAGGTGGGGAGTTTACCTTGAATCGAGTAAAAAGTCAACTCGGGGTGGTGTTTCCGCAAGCCGCCATTGCGCCTTCTGCGCCATCTGCGCCTTCTGCGCCTTCTGCGCCATCTGCGCCTTCTGCGCCATCTGCGCCTTCTGCGCCATCTGCGCCATCGGTCGACGTGCCCCTTCCTCCAGGTGGGGAGGAGTTGTACGACTCATAACAACGCCATTCGCGGCGACGGCACACGTGGCACACGTGGCACACGTGGCACCCATATCATCTGTATCAGAGTACGCACTGTACGAATGTCACGGCCGTACAAGGTCAAGGGTCGTACGTCTGAGCACCTCGCGGTTCCCGTGGTAGCAAGCTATCCGCATTGCGCCCTCCCTCCAGACTCCCCACCCACCCTCCCCTCCTCCTTTCCTTGCCCTCCTCATCCCCGCCCCCCTCGCACCGCACCCATCTCCCTCCCTCTACCACGCTCACTCCACCTCCCTCTCCCCCATCTCCCGTCTCCCTCCCCCCATTTCCCTCCCAACGATTTCCCTTCCCCCCATCTCCCTCTCTCCACAATCTCCCCCCACCTCCCACCGCTGCATTTCCATCGGACGTGGGACCCGTGAATTGCATCAACCGCCACCAGCTTTCCTCCCCTCTCCCCACTCCCCCCATCTTCACCCCCCCGATCTCCCTCCCCCCACCGCTGCATTTCCATCAGGACGTGGGACCCGTGAATTGCATCAACCGCCACCTCTCCCCCTCCTCCCCTCTCCCTTCCCCCTCTCCCCTCTTCCCCACCTCTCTCCCCCTCCCCGCTTCTCTCCCCACCTCCCACCTCTGCATGCATTTCCATCAGGACGTGGGGACCCGTGAATTGCATCAACCAACACTGCCTCCCGTCCCATTCAACCAGCCTCCGGGTTCCCCCTCGCCTGCTTTCCGTTCCCCTCTCCCCTCTTTTTCCACCTCCGCAACTCCATCAGGACGTGGGACCCGTGAATTGTATCAACCGTGCCCCTACGGCCCTCGCTCTCCTGGCTGGTAAGACCAATCTCTCCACGTGCCACGGGCCTCAGCATATGGTTTCTGTGTTGACTCACAAGTCACCTGCTTTCAACCTTTCCCCCTTCAACCTTTCCCCCAATTCAATCCCTCCACCTCCTTCTTCAACACTCTCCCCCTTCCACTTCCCCCCCTCCTAGGGGTATCATTGGCAGCCTGCTTTCAACCTTTCCCCCTCTTCAATCCCTCCCCCTCCTAGGGGTATCACTGGCGGCCTGCCACGTGTCAAGTGCCAGCGTACGGTTTCAGGCCATACCACTTCCTGAAGATGATGCGGAACAGGTTAGATGACCCGGAACAGCTGAGTTGATACGGAACAGGTTAGGGAGGTACGCGAGGGACGACTGAGATGACACGCCAGGGTCTAGTGTTCAGCCAAACTAGCACTGTTTTTTTTTTTTTTTTTTTTTTTTTTTTTTACCGATTTATGTTATTCCTATTGCCTACTAGAAAATCTATGTCTCTTGTCGTATGCATCAACCTATCCTGCGTGCGCCAATTCTGTTTCCACCAACCCTCGCGCCTGTCTGCTGCCTTACTTCCCCTCTGCTCCCATGTGGCTCCATATACGTCACTCTCCTTCCCACTTCTGACTGCATCATGTGCACGGGACTGTATCGTGTAAACGTGACTATATCGTGCAAACGTGACTGTATCCTGTAAATGTGACTGTATCCAGGGTGATAGCATCGGTGGGCGATTCTCTCTCCTATCAGAATCTCATGCCATCGCTGCTGTGTCACATCCACGGCGCCTCACCTGTCACCGAGATTCCCAATGATGGTTCGCTGGCCATACAGCACAAACGGAGCAGAGTATATCGAGTAGAGGCGTACAATGTCACGCTTATAAACACGTGGAGCACGTTTCTTAATGAGTACTGGCAAGATGAGCAGGTGGGCAGCCCGTGTGTTTATCCATCTACTAACTATATCATTGTAAACATGTCGCTTACATAAGCATGATGCTTACATTAGTATGATGCTTACATAAGCATGATGCTTACATTAGTATGATGCTTACATAAGCATGATGCTTCCATAAGCATGTCACTTACCACCTCCCACCCCTTATTTCCGACCTCCCACACCTGCAGACCCTCTCGCGCTACAGTAGCGGCAAGAATCGCACGGACGAAGATTCGGTGATCAATCTGGATGGCGTCGATCCGGCGCTTGCCGCCCGGGGTGACTAAATACGACGTGCTTATACTGCAGACCGCGGCGCACTGGCAAGCCAAGCCCAACAAATGGCGGCGGTACTTTGTGGATGGACAGGGGAGGCTGGTGTTCACTGAACGGCAGTACATTGCTGCTTTTGAGTAAGTGCATCTTCGCCATTTTAAGCGCCTCAAAAATAGAACAGAGTAAGTGCGAATCCGCATGCCTCATT